ACGAGTAATCGTTACAATCAAAAAATTGCGACAGTTGACATGATACTGCGAGTAGCACGTAGAAAGAAAACTACCACTAACACTAGCAGTGATATCCGTAGTGCTAATAGTAGTAATAATAGTAGTGGTCGGAGTAGGAGTAGTAGTGGTAGTGGCGGTAGTTCTGATAGTAGTAGTAGTAGTAGTAGTAGTCGTCGTAGTAGTAGTAGTAGTAGTAGTAGTAGTAGTAGTAGTAGTAGTAGTAGTAGTAGTAGTAGTACTAGGTGTAGTAATAGCAGTAGTAGTAGTAGTAATACGACTCGTAGAGTAATAGGGGTAGTAGCAGTCGTAATATTAGTAGTGGTCGTGGTAGTAGCAGTAGTAGTAGTAGTAGTAGTAGCAGTGGCAGTAGGACTAGCAGCAGCAGTAGTAGTAGTAGCTGGTGGCATGATTGTACTGGGAAGTAGTAGTAGTAGTAGTAGTAGTAGTAGTAGTAGCAGTAGTAGACGTAGTAGTAGTAGTCGTAGTAGTAGTAGTACTAGTAGTAGTAGTAGTAGTAGTAGTAGTAGTAGTAGTAGTAGTGGTAGTCGTAGTCGTAGTAGTAGTAGTAGTCGTCGTAGTAGTAGTAGTAGTAGTAGTAGCTGTAGTGTTAGTCGTCGTCGTCGCAGCAGTAGTAGTAATCGTCGGATCATGCGTATTAAGAATCGTAGACGCAGCAGTAGTCGTAGTAGCAGTAGTAGTAGTAGTAGCAGTAGTAATCGTCGTACTGCTGAGTGGTCGTAGTGGTAGTAGTAGTAGTAGTAGTAGTAATAACCTTGCGACATCGTAAGTGTAGTAGCGCTGGGCCTTCGATGTTGAAGCATCGTTAGAAGTAATCGTACTTCGCAGAAATAGCTAGTACTGTTAGTACTTAGGTGTAGTAGTACTACCACGACTACTCAGTAGTAGTAGTAGTAGTAGTAGCAGTAGGACGTCGTGGTAATACTTTTAAAACATATCGTCATGCTTCGTCGTAGTAGTAGTAGTAGTAGTAGTAGTAGTAGTCGTAGTAGTAGTAGTAGTAGTAGTAGTAGTAGTAGTAGTAGTAGTAGTAGTAGTAGTAGTAGTAGTTAGTAGTAGTAGTAGTAGTAGTAGTAGTAGTAGTAGTAGTAGTAGTAGTAGTAGTAGTAGTAGTAGTAGTAGTAATGGCGCTTGTACTTAGTAGAGTCTAGTAGTAGTAGCAGCAGCAGTAGTAGTAGTAGTGGTGGTAAAAGTAGTCGTAGTAGTCGTAGCAGCCGAACTCGCACATAGTAGTAGCCCGATTAAGAATAGTACTAGTGTTACCGCCCTGAACACCGAGCGGACTGATCAGACTATGCCGGTGAGGAGATTCAGATCGGACTGTGGTCTAAGCAACATGATGAGCAGCAGCATCATCATCATCACCACCATAATCGTCATCATCCTCCTACTGATGGCGGTTGTCGGGATAACGCCTTCCTGTGCGGGATGTTTTTCTTTGTTCTATCACTTTGCCGAAAGAGGGGTATAACTAACTTCTTCTGATTGTTTGGATAACATGGATCTGGACTCGCGAGGCCACCATCCCTTTGTAAAATTATCCTGGCGAAAGACCCAACCATAAGCAATTGTTGGTAACGCGTTGTGGGTGCCGCTTTCGGTGGGGCTCCATATGGGGCCACGAAGCGCTGCCTTGGATGGGGGAACCGCATGCGGACTGCGCCACCGGGGCGGGCCTTCGGTGGAGCTCCCTATGGGGCTACGAAACGCTGCCCTGGGTGGGGGAACCGCATGCGAACTGCGCCACTGGGGCCTTCGGTGGAGCTCCCTATGGGGCCACGAAACGCTGCCCTGGGTGGGGGAACCGCATGCGAACCCGCCACTGGGGCCTTCGGTGGAGCTCCCTATGGGGCCACGAAGCGCTGCCCTGGGTGGGGGAACCGCATGCGAAGCAGCCACTGGGGCCTTCGGTGGAGCTCCCTATGGGGCCACGAAACGCTGCCCTGGGTGGGGGAACCGCATGCGAACACCCCCACTGGGGCCTTCGGTGGAGCTCCCTATGGGGCCACGAAACGCTGCCCTGGGTGGGGGAACCGCATGCGAACACCCCCACTGGGGCCTTCGGTGGAGCTCCCTATGGGGCCACGAAACGCTGCCCTGGTGGGGGAACCGCATGCGAACACCCCCACTGGGGCCTTCGGTGGAGCTCCCTATGGGGCTACGAAACGCTGCCCTGGGTGGGGGAACCGCATGCGAACACCCCCACTGGGGCCTTCGGTGGAGCTCCCTATGGGGCCACGAAACGCTGCCCTGGGTGGGGGAACCGCATGCGAACACCCCCACTGGGGCCTTCGGTGGAGCTCCCTATGGGGCCACGAAACGCTGCCCTGGGTGGGGGAACCGCATGCGAACACCCCCACTGGGGCCTTCGGTGGAGCTCCCTATGGGGCCACGAAACGCTGCCCTGGGTGGGGAACCGCATGCGAACACCCCCACTGGGGCCTTCGGTGGAGCTCCCTATGGGGCTACGAAACGCTGCCCTGGGTGGGGGAACCGCATGCGAACACCCCCACTGGGGCCTTCGGTGGAGCTCCCTATGGGGCCACGAAACGCTGCCCTGGGTGGGGGAACCGCATGCGAACACCCCCACTGGGGCCTTCGGTGGAGCTCCCTATGGGGCTACGAAACGCTGCCCTGGGTGGGGGAACCGCATGCGAACACCCCCACTGGGGCCTTCGGTGGAGCTCCCTATGGGGCCACGAAACGCTGCCCTGGGTGGGGGAACCGCATGCGAACACCCCCACTGGGGCCTTCGGTGGAGCTCCCTATGGGGCCACGAAACGCTGCCCTGGGTGGGGGAACCGCATGCGAACACCCCCACTGGGGCCTTCGGTGGAGAGCTCCCTAATGGGGCTACGAAACGCTGCCCTGGGTGGGGGAACCGCAAATGGAACACCCCCACTGGGCCTTTTCGGACTATGGGCTTGCCGTCGTGCCCTGGGGGGGACCGCAAACGACACCCCCACTTGGGGCCTTCGGTGGAGCTCCCTATGGGGCTACGAAACGCTGCCCTGGGTGGGGGAACCGCATGCGAACACCCCCACTGGGGCCTTCGGTGGAGCTCCCTATGGGGCCACGAAACGCTGCCCTGGGTGGGGGAACCGCATGCGAACACCCCCACTGGGGCCTTCGGTGGAGCTCCCTATGGGGCTACGGAACGCTGCCCTGGGTGGGGGAACCGCATGCGAACACCCCCACTGGGGCCTTCGGTGGAGCTCCCTATGGGGCCACGAAACGCTGCCCTGGGTGGGGGAACCGCATGCGAACACCCCCACTGGGGCCTTCGGTGGAGCTCCCTATGGGGCCACGAAACGCTGCCCTGGGTGGGGGAACCGCATGCGAACACCCCCACTGGGGCCTTCGGGGGCCTTCGAAACGCTGCCCGGGGGGAACGTTGCGAACACCCCCCCTGGGGCCTTCGGTGGAGCTCCCTATGGGGCTACGAAACGCGTGAGAGGTGTGCCGAGAGCAGAGGCAAGGAGGGGGAGGAGGAGGAGGAGAGGAGAGGAACGCGGGGCACCGTCTCTTCAAAACGAGGACCCAACACCACAGGATGGTTGGGAACAATAGCCTGGACAGGGACCTAGCCCTAAGCAACTTCATGCAACATCGGTGGTGAACCTCTCTATGCACGATCCGTGCAAGGGATGGGCCGGGCTGGTCGAGGGGACGCATAGGAACGCTCTCGCTGGAGCTGTCTGTGAGTCACGATCCGCGTGAGTGGTGTGCCAAAACCATTGGGGAACGCATGCGTGAGGCCTTAGGTGGAGCTCCCTCGGCTCCCTGCACAGGGAGCTCCACAAGCTGTGAGGCGCGATCAGTCATTGGAAGGGGTGCGCCGGAATTGGCGACGACTGCGAATCATCCACTGGGGCCAAAAATGGAGATTGCTTCGGAGCACGATCCGTGTGAGGTGTGAACCGAAGTAGGCGGGAGGGCATGCGAACCCTCGGCTTGGGCCGTAAAGAGAGCTCTGGGGTACGATCTGTGTGTGGTGGGGGGAACCGACATGAGCGGGAGACGCATCCGAACCCTCCCACTGAGGCCGTAGGTGGAGCTTCCTGGATGGCACGACGCGCGCGGAGAGGTACGCCGAAATGGGCGTGGCGCCGCCAAGCGGCGCCCTCTCTTGGGCCGTAGGTGGTATCCCATGCCCCGCCGCCTCCTGAGAAAACCTTATCCTTCTCATTTCCCCCCCCGCTCGCCGACGAAAATCGTCAACGGCCCATCTTCGGGGACGCACTGACCCGGGTCAATCCAACCCCAGGTCAGTCGGTCTTGGCAGGATCCTGCCAGATCCTGCCGGATCCTGCCAGATCCAGCAGGCAAGCCCTGGTCAATGCACCCATCGCCTCGCAAGACCCGGCAAGATCCGGCGCTCCTGACCCCCGTTTGCACCGACCCCCGTCTCTTGAGCCCCGATCCTATCCCCGATCCACCTGGCACCGCTCGGACGTGCGTTGTTTTTTTGTCCTCGGCGAGGATCGTCGAAGAACATCATGGATCTGCCTGCGAAGCTAGAAGAAAACAGCAATTATAGACATACACTTTTGGCGCTCCGCGCGGATTTCTTGGATCTGCGCCGGACCCCCCTCCCTGGCGCGCAGAGCGCGCCAGGGCCGGCGCCGGAGGCAACGCCGCGGGGCCCCAGCACGGATCCAAGGAATTCGCGCGGAGCGCCAAACAACAATGTTCATGTGTTTTTCTCCTTCTTCTCCTTCTTCGAGAAGCAAGCAACAAAAAACACGCACGCGACCGGAAGCTGCGCCGACACCTGATGGGCCTGTTGTCCACCACCACCACCACCTCAATTTGGAGGGGGGAAGGAGGTGGAGGACGAGGAGGAGAAGAAGAAGGGGGAGGGGGAGGAGGAGGAGGAGGAGGACGAGGAGGAGGAGGACCTCCTCCCCCTCCAATTCATGGTGGTGGTGGAACACAGGCCCCGCAGACGCCTCCCCCCTCCTTGTGTGCGAGGACGTCTGGTCTGCGCAGCTGGTAGCCGATGTCGGAGTACCTCCCCTCGCTGGCCCGGCCCCTCGTGCAGAGCTCCAGCGCTCTCGGAGGCGGCTGGCGGGGGGGGTCTGTGCTGCTTGGGCCCCACGCCTTCCTCCCTCCCCCTCCTCCTCCTCCTCCTCCTCCTCCTCCTCCTCCTCCTCCTCATCCCCCTTCCCCTTCTCCTCCTCCTCCTCCTCCTCCTCCTCCTCCTCCTCATCGGGTCGCCTACGGCCAGGGGGAAACCGTGCAGGCCGTCCCAGAGATCCGACGCCCCCCAAAAATGGAGCGGCGGGATTCTGGCAGTGTTCGGCCTCCGGGGGCCCTCGCCGGGCCTCGAGGGCGGGCCCAAGAGCGGCTCGGGACGGAAAACCGGCCCATGGGTAGAGCGGTCTGGACCTGCGGGGCCGGCGCATCGAAACTGTCGAAGCAGCCACATGTCTGGGAGGAGGTCGACCACGCGGGGGCGTGCTCGCGGCGAGCCAGCGGGGGGAGGCGAGGAGGAGGGGGCCTTCTCAGCCGCGGCGGCCCCCCTCAGAAGCCCGCCTGGACAAGCGCGCTCCACTACTCGCAGTCCAACTGCTCACAAATTGCCTGGATCCGCCGCGGGGGATTTACGATAGATTCCATTACGCCAAAGAAAACCCAATCAATGGATGGTTTTCGCTGAGGAGATCCACCGGGAACCCGGGAACCCAAAACCCACCGAAATCGGCCCGGAACCAATGACCGGGAACCCGGGAATCCGGAACCGGAAACCCGGGAAGCCAGCCTGCCACCAAAATCGGCGGGACACTCTCGCCAAATCTGTCAACTTCCGCTAGGACCCCTTCAGTGCAACCACTGATAGGGGAAATACTCAAAAATGCCCCCAAATATGAAAAAATCATAGAAAAATCGTCCCCTGATTATTCTTGTACTGTTTTTGAATATTCCCCCTGTCGTGGGACAGGCCCGACTTGAGCGTACAGTCATCGACGTGTCCAAGTGTCTAAGACGACAAGTTTCTTTATTCAGACGATTTTGCGAGCCGGCACTTCTGCGAGTGTAGCGGAGCGCGCTCGGCGACCGCCGGTCGAGCAGATATCCGAAACTGCGCGTTCAAGTAGCACCCGGCAATTGCGGATAAGAGTGAGGGGGCGGGTCGCGGGTGGGTCGCGAGCGGGTCGCGGGTGGGTCGCGGCCCAGGTCGCGGGCGGGTCGCGGGCCGGGTCGCGCGGAGGACGACGACAACAAACAATGTAACAACAATCCGCACCGCAGAACCCCACTGCAGCCACACACCCAAAGACAGTGAATGAACGTTCGGCCCCTTCATTCTGATGTAGTTGTCTTGCTCTTCGACTGGCGTGTCCCAGCTCCTCCTTTTTCCACTCGACGCGAGCACTTGGAGAGGATTGAGACTGGGCCTTCGCCAAAGGTCTTTCGGCGGCGAGCGAGGGGGGGAAGTTAGAAGGAGAAGGCCTTGTCAGAAAACGGCTGGGCTTCTCAGAAGCTCTCGCGCCATCTGAAAGGTTCTGTGATTCTTTGGAGAAAGAATGGAACACTTCTCAGAAGGCCCGAGGCCTTCCGAGCCTTCTGAGAAAGCCCGCCTCCTCTCACTTCCTCCCCGGGTCGCCGCCGGAGAAAATTGAGGCTGGGCTCTCGCCAAAGGTCGTGACGTTGCCAAATCATCGTTTGCGACCTCGGCCTATAAGCAAACAACAAGCATAACCCTTCAGGAGGGGACCTATGTTAGAAGGATCCGAAACTTGAGGGACAGGGTGTCTTTTCAACAGATGTATGAAGCCAAACCACTCGTAAGTATCATCCCCAATGCAACAAGACGGGGACCACAGTGAGGCCACGCCTTCATCGTGTTCTCAGGGTCAGGGGTCCGTTGTTCTCTCGGTGACATTTCCCTCCCCTAAGCGAATCCTGGACGAGGATAAAATCGGGTGAGGACAACTCGGGAATTTCTGAGATCTGGCAACTCTGGAAGATGTCTCCGGCGCCGCGGCCTTCTCAGAGCGTTCCGGAACGCTCTGAAGGCGGTCCAGAACGCTCTGGCACGGATTTATCCTCGTCCTGGCCCCCTTCAACATCTGATGGGACTGATTTCCACCACCACTACCATATGTTGGAGAAGGAGGAGGAGGAAAAAGAGGAGGAGGAGGAGGAGGACCTCTCCCTCCAACCTATGGCAGTGGTGGTGGAAACCAAGCCCATCCACATCCCCCCCCCTGGCCTGACGACCATCAGCCTGCTGAACGCACCCCACATCCGGTATGCCCACAGCGCGCTGAGCAGCCCGCCTGGCGGCCGCTGGCCGGTGGGCTCCCCAGCGAGGGCGCCCCTCCCTCCCGCCGGCCCAGCGAGACCGCCCGGGCGCCCCGGAAACGGGCCGGGAGCCGCATCGGCGAGGCGCTTTCCGGGGCCTCCATAATGGCCCAGGAGGCGTTCCTCGCCATCGCTCGGACGTCCGTTCCCTGCGCACTGTCCAGCTTCGTGCGTGGACTGTTCGCACGGGGAGCCAGGGTGCTCCTCGAGGGTTCTCGCCGAGGAACGAGCCAATGCACACATCAGAGCGATGCCGAGGTCCTGACAGGTACGGGAAGGCCGAATTCTCCGCAGCCGCAGTTTCACGGGTGAAACAAAAAACTGCTCCCCGAAGACCTTTTAAAGCACATCCAGACGTAGCGACGAGGGTCTCCCAGGAGGCTCGAAAAGGCTAAAAAGAGGGGGTAGCGGTATCGGCGCCCCTCGGGCATTGCCTCATAGGAGGACCAAAAATGAGGGGCGAAGATACGTGCACCTTGCGCGTCCTGTTTGGACCCCGGGGGGCCCCTTTGGGGCACCCAAGGCACACGAAAGGTGCAACGCTTCTTCGCCCCCCACTACAGAATAACCATCTAGGAGCAGAATAGCCAAAACGAAAAAAATCCCCCAAGGGCCAAGGCAGCGCTCACGAAGAAGAGGCAAGGCCGAGAGGAGGGAGAACAGGCGCCACCGAAACCCTGCGCCCCAGACGAAACCCCTGGACTTCATGACAGGGGATACGTCGTCCCCTACTCACTCGGCTACACGCAAGAGGGACCCTAGGCAAGACTGACCTTTAGCGCGCGGATTCCAGGGGCGCAAGGTGGCCAAATCCAAGACCGCAAGCAGCCACTACCGCATCGCGCTCAGCGATCGGGACGGACACCGGTGAGTCCGCACCAAAGGTAAAACTGGCGAAGGGTCACTCTTACGTGTAGTCGAGGGTACGTCCGACTAGCCCCCTTGGCGTGTATCCCAGGTCCTTTTTTCGTCGAAACATCGGGAGTTGGGGGAGGCGAAATTTGAGTCGAGCATGTCCCTCTACTGGAGGAATATCAAGAAATAGTCCAAAAATAGTCAGTGGACGATTCGTTGACTATTTTTGCATGTGTTTGCGGGCAATATCTATATCCATATCCAGTGCGTCTTGGACTTTCTTGAAGGGGCACCGCAAGGCCGAGGCGCACTGGATGTGGATAAAAATTGAGCCTTTTGGAGGCAGATTATAATCCATATCCAGTGCGCCTCATGTTCCTTGGGAAGAATGCCCGAAACTCCAAGACGCACTGGATGTGGATAAAGACATTGCCCGCAGTGCTTGGAATGTCTTCACTTCTTCACCCAAAAACCGCCTGCTGAGGGGACATGCCCGACCTGAGGCTAAACTCGCCTGCGACAGGGCGGTGCGGGGCCGGGGGAGCGCCCGCGGCGCACACCCCGAACTTCTTCCTCTGGGGGCCCCCCGGGTGGGGTCGGAGCAGATTTAGGTCGGGCGTGTCCCCCTACTGGCGGACTTGGGACGAAAAATCAAAAATACTCGAACCAAAAACCCAAATAGCCAAAAACATTGAGAAAAGAAACGTCCCCAGACTAGTTTTCTACAACTTTTGAATATTCTCCGTGTAGAGGGACGTGCCCGACTTCAGAGGAGATGGGGTCGGAGCATCGCGCCGCACCGCCGATTCCTCGGCGATGCCTCGGCGATGCATCGGTGATGCCCCGGCGATGCATCGTCGACGTCGCCGATGCGTCGGCGACGTCGACGCGAAGCACATCGGGCCCCACATCGAGCCGCATCGGCGATGCATCGGCGATGCGGCGCGGTCCTCCGACCCCATCTATTGGCGGCGCGCACAAGTGGTAGGGTGAGGGGGGAGGATGTCTCAGAAGGAGGCTGCTTCTTAGACGGCGCCAGCCTTACATCTTTAGACAAGGCCCGCACCTTCTGAGAAGCAGGGGTGGTTCTGAGAAGGCTCCCCTCCTCCTCCTCCTCCTCCTCCTCCTCCTCCTCCTCCTCCTCCTCCGGCCGCGGCCCGCGCCGGCGCCGACCCCCCCCCCCCCCTCGGCGCTCCCCCCGCCGCGGCCGGCAACTCTGAAAGGCCCGCCGGCTTCCTTTCTTCCCGTCGCGCCGGGCCCCCTCCCACCCCCCGCGCATGGCGGCTTTGACTTTCACGCGCAGCGCGTCCCCCGTTGCCAATCCGCCGGGGCAGTCGCCCTCTGCCCAGCCGCCGACGCAAGAAAGTTTGCGCGCGCGCGTGTTGGGGGGTCGGCGGCGGCGGGCGGCGCGCGCGCGCGTCGGGGAGGGGGGGGGGCGACGCCGCCTGGGCTGGGATTGCACGCGTTCATGCTTAGAGCAAGCCGCGGGACAAGCCCACGCGCAAGTTGCACCGCCTAGGGGCGAGCGAGGAATCCCGGGGGGGCGGGGGGTAGGTCCCGATTCCCCTCTTAGAAGGAGAACGCATGTTTTATGTCATCTATCTTCTGCACAAACCATGCGTTATGTGATTTGCGTCGCGCGCAATCTACGCCTCGCGAATCTACGCGGCGAGATCCGGCCTGCCGAAATTGAAATTGTCAGCTCCACTGATCGCACAATCACCCCGCCCGCCCCCCGAAATTTGGCTTGCAAAATCCGCGCGGCGGCGATTGCGAGGACTGCTCGGCGCCCGCGCCACCCCGCGACCGCGCCAGCGCGCAGGCTCGCGCGCAAAGCGGGCCGCTAATCTGACGTGACCGACGCGGCCGCGGCTGAGCTGACCGACGGGGGCCCCTCATGGCGCCTCGCAGGCCGCGCTGGCACTTCAGCTCGAGTCGGTGACTCGGGCGACGATGCTGGCATCCTCGCGTCGGAAATGAAGTTTGCGACGAGGATGTTGGCATGCGCGCGCGGCCGACGGGCGCGAGTGGACCGCATGGTACGATTTGAAAGGGATCGCGCACCCCACCCCGACACGCGCGCAGAGGCGTTCGAATGATCTCGACATGCGCGCGCGAGAAGCCCGCTTGGTCGCATTTGCTACAGGAATTGACGCACCTCTGGCTTTCTGAAGAATTCGCAAGGTCGCATGCGCAGGCTTATTTGAAAACTCATGTTGCGAAGCCTTGTTTCTTATTTGTCTTCGGGGCACTCGATGTTGACACTGTTGTGAAACATCAAAATGTTGCTTGAAAGGTTTCGGCATGCGTGCGCGACGACGCGCGCGTGCGCACGTCGTCTCATGGTTTGCAAAAGCGTCTTGCGAAAGAACGCGTGCAAGGCCGGTCGAATGACTCGAACATGCTCGCGCGACATGCACGTGCGGTAACAACTGGTGAAATAAATTGGTAAGACCGCGGGTGCACTTATTGTTTTTAAAAACTCACGGTGCGAAACCGTTGTTTGTATTTGTTCTCGTGCCACTCAATAGTGAACGCCCTGCGGAACTTAAAATTTTTCAAGCTGTCAGCGTGCGGGCGCGACGAAGCGCGCGTGTGCACTTCGTCTCATTGGCTGCGTGACACTGCTGATTTTTTTGATGAACGAATGCGCGCGCATCACAACCTTAGCAAAAGGAAGGGGGGCCGAACACCGCACTGCACTGCCTGGGATGGTACCGAGTCATACTTAGGATGGACAGGTGCGCAGAAACATATGCGAAACACAATGCCACAAAAAGAGTTGATCCCTTAAGCCTGGGGGGTGGGGGTAAATCCTAATACTCCTCCAGGGTGGAGGACGTATTTGGTGCAATCCACGCTTTGTGCGGCGACGATAGGGCGATGGCGGCAACATAGCAGCCAAACCGACAGGCAGGCCCCGAAGACGGACAGGGGTGGCAACGAAACGGCGACCGGGCGGGACTGGACATTTTGCCGCCCAAAGCGACGGTCCGACCCAGGCGACGGGGCGGTGACGAGGCGGCGACGGGGCGGCGACGGCGGCTAACTTGCCGCCGAACCCACAATGATTGGCCGATTCTCAACCACCACTACCGTAGGGGGGAGAGTTTTTCCTCGGGGGCCCACGAGGCAGGACAGAGCATTACCAGCCAGCACCGCACGGCAGTCTGACGGGTGTGGCAGCGCAGGAGATGACCGTCTCTCCCCTAGCCACTTAGACTTAACCCGCGAGACTGCCGCGGGTCGCAGGCCGAGGCAGCACTCCATGCTCCTCCAAAGCCCGAGCTGCATTCACCTCACGCTCTCTTACTCGGGCCACCAGCGCCTCCAGCGATGGCAGGAGACGCACGCCCGAGTGCGCGGAGGGGCTACCAGTAGTCGCCGCAGGAAGCAGCACGTACTTGGCAGAGGCGCGGCATGTGGCGCCAGAACCTGCAGCTACCTTCTCCTCCGATCTGTAGTGAGGATGCAGGCCTTGACGAATTCGGTGGAGAGCGCCCTTGCCACTCGGTCCAGGCTTCCCTTTGCACCGCTCGCCGAGAAGGAAACACCGCTGGCTAAAGAAAGCTCCACACTTGAAGCAGCAGACCAGCATCTCGCACTCGGCGGTCTGGCGCAAGGACGTGCACAGGAGGTGGCCTCGTTCGCTCTCCGCGCCTTGCAGGCGACGCAGAGCCGTGGGGAGTCCGTTGTACCCTAGCATCGGTCGATCGTCGCCATAAGACACCTTAAGCACTTACTGCATCGAGCCACGCTTTCCTGGGCGCCCTCGTCGCCAGGGTCGAGGATGCCCCATTCGTGCCAGCTCAGGGCACGCGGGGGCAGGAGGGGGAGGAAGAGGAGGACGAGGAGGAGGGGGAGGAGGAGGAGGAGGAAAAGGAAGAGGAGGACCTCCCCCTTCCCCCCAATCCTAATTATGGTAACGGTGGTGGAAGATTGGCACATCAGACAGACAGGCCCAATTCCTTAGAAACCAAATCGGAAACCCAGAATGCATGCAGTGCTTTTGAGAAAAAAACAGATCCGTGCTGCAACTTGGAGAAACCAAAAGGTACAAGTACCGCACCGCTACTCTCTGGACCTCTCCCAGGATCCGTTCTGACGAGAATTTCGAGGCGAATCCAGCGGTGGCGACAAGGGCCTCTCACGAGGCTCAACAAAAAAAGAAAGCGGCTGAAGGGAAGCGGTATGTGTACGGCCAGGATGGTGAGGGCGAGGAGAGCCATCGGCCGAGGAGGGAGGGGCGAGGGAGAGGGGGGGACGGAGCGAGAGGGGGGGGGCCGAGAGTGGCCCGAAGGGAGGGTGGGGTGGGCGAGGGAGGGGGGCGTAAGATTGGGGAAGGGGGCGGAGGCGTCCGCGCCCAGCCCTCCGCCTGCGACGTAAAGGTTGGGCAGCGGCACCGCGGGGAGCTGTCGCCAAACCCGCAGCACGATGTCCTCGTGCTGGGGCAGCTGCGGCTGGTCCTTCACAAGGAAACACGCAAGGGTACAGTCAACCCGTATAATGAGGACGCACGATAAGGGCCTTGGAAGGCCACGTCGACACTTTGCGAAAGGAGCGCGGCCAGCGAAAGGGGCCAGAGATCGGCCGAAATGGAAGGATGCAAGAGTAACCTTTGAAAACCGCTTACCCTTCATGTGCGGGTTGACTCTATGACTGCAGCGGGTCCTTCCTGTACAGTGAGAGGGGAGACAAGTGGTGGACACTCCCCCCCTCCGTTGGCACGCGCAGGGTAGACTGCAGTGGAAGTGCAACTGAATTCAACCAATGCCAACGGCGCCCTACGGTTCAACCCACCGCGTCTACGGTTCAACCCACCATTCCCTTGGATCACTCGGGAGGGGGGCATCGATATCGACAGATGAAGGTGGCGTGCGGCGCGCGTGCTTGCTCACTGCTCCCTGGGCCTGTCGCCCCACCCCACCCCCCCGACGCAGGACCCCCGGAGGGCTGCCGATGCCCAGGAACCATCGGGAACTGACTCTCCGATGGTAGAGGCCTCCTAGATGGGGTCGGAGTATAGGTGGGGTCGGAGGATGTCGCCGCATCGCCGACACATCGGTGATGCGTCCGTGATGCATCGGCCATGCACTGGCGACGTCGGCGATACATCGGCGACGTCGGCGTGGAAAAATTGGGCCCCACATCGAGCCGCCCGCATCGCTGACGCATCGCCGATGCGTCGCGATCCTCCGACCCCATCTACTCCGATCCCATCTAGTGAGCGTTTTCTTATTCGAAATTTCGACATTGGGCCGAACGGGGGGGGGAGGGGGAGGGGTCTGGCTCCGGACCCCTGCTTAGTGCGACTGCTGAAGCAATGCGCCCTATGGGGGGGAGACTCCCCTGCTTGAAGAGGGTGCCAGAAACGGCCAAGATTTACTCCATGGGAGTTGGAGAGGGGGGGCTTGGGGGCCCGCGATGATGGGCAAAACAGTGAATAAATTACACTAAAGAAAACCCGCAATCAAAAGATGGTTTGCGCTGAGGAGATCGACCGGGAACCCGCGAGCCCCGGAACCCAAAACCCACCGAAATCGGCCCGGAACCAATAACTGGGAACCCAGGAAACCGGAACCGGGAACCCGGAAACCCAACCTGCTACCAAAATCGGCGGGAAACTCTCGCCAAATCTTTCAGCATCCGCTAGGATCCCTTCAGTGCAAGCACTGATGGGGAAAATGATCACCTAAGAAGCCTACTCCAAATCCCTACTAATCGTCCCCCGGGTCCGGTTTTTGAAGGCGCCTTTTTTGTAATTGGGGGGGTCCAGTCTATTAGGGCGCTTTCTTTGGATTGGAGCTTACTGGTCCTGGTTCATTAAGGCGCCCCGTCGAAGAGGGGGGTCCAGAACATTAGATCGCATTTGGAGGGGGGGTCCGGTTTTTCAGGGGGGGTCGATTAAGAATGAAGGATTTGGAGTAGACCCAGACCCCCGACGTCATGATTTTTTCATGAACCGACACCCTGAGGTCCCGACCCATTCCCCAGGACCGGCTCTTCATCCTGAGTCGTTTCTTGACGGTCCCGAGGCCCGGCGAGGGCCCCCAGAGGCCGAAAAGGGCGAAAAACCTCCCGTCGTGATGTTTGTTCCATGACCCGTCTGGGGTCTGGGAAATACGGGGCCTGCAGTAGACCATCCCATCGGCAACTGGCGGGTGCGGGACCGGGGGGCAGCTGACCATCGCTCGGACGCCCCTTCCTTGTGCTTCTGTCGACTTCTATCGCCAAAAAACAAAAAATACTCCCCGACAGTCCTCGCCACAAAACAAAAGATGCACACGTCCGAGCGATACCAGGAGGAAGAGGAGGAGAAGGAGGAGGAGGAGGAGGAAGAGGAGGAGGAGGAGGAGGAGCAGGAGGAGGAGGAAGGAAGAGGAGAGGAAGGTAGAGAAGGGGGGGGGGGGCGGGCGAGGCGGGCGGGCGCGGGGCGGCCGCGGGGCGCCGGGGGCGGGCGCGCCGGCCCCCGCGCCCCACCTATAGAGGACCCCCAAGAGGCTGCCGGAGGAGAGCGACCACCTCCTCCTCCTCCTCTCCTCCTCCTCCTCCCTCCTCCTCCCCTCTCTCTCCCCCCTCCCCCTCCCCCCCCCTCCCCCTCCCCCTCCCCCTCCCCCTCCTCCCTCTCCCTCCTCCTCCTCCTCCTCCCCTCCCCTCCTCCTCCCTCCTCCACCTCCTCCTCCCCTCCTCCTCCTCCTCCTCCTCCTCCTCCTCCTCCTCCTCCTCCCCCCCAAGGGGCCCCAGGACACACCCATGAAGACACACACACATTCAAGAGATCCGACGCATGTTCCTATATGTTGGGGGTGTTCGTCTTCCCCCCGCGTCCCAGATCTTCCCATGTTTTCTTGGGAATCCACGATTCACTGCGTCTGTGTGTTTTTCCCCCCTGACAATCACAGGATGGATTCATGAATCGTGGGATCGATAAAGAAATCGACCGGGAGCCTGGAAGCCCGGGAACCCCGAGCTCACCGAACTCGGCCCGGAACGAATGACCAGGGACCTGGGAGCCCGGAACCGGAACCCGGGAGCCCAGTCGGCTACGAAGATCGGCGGGGAGCTTTCGCCAGATCTTTCACCATCCGCTAGGACCCCTCCAGTGCAAGCACTGGTTGGGGAAGATGAGCCATTGACCCTCTGGGAGGGATGAGAAGAAGAAGCTAGAAGAAGAAGAATAGTAAGAAAAATAAGCCGAAAGTTAGAATGATAAAAAACTAGAAGAAGAACAAGCTAGAAGAAGAAGAAGAAGAACAAACCACTGGTTGGGGGCCAAAAGCTAGAAGAAAAAGAGGAACAAACGCCGTAGACGTAAACTTTTGGCGCTCCGCGCGGATCTCTTAGACCTGCGCTGGGCCCCCCTCCTTGACGCGCGGAGTGCGCCAGGAGCGGCGCCGGAGGCGCCGCCTGGTGGGCCCAGCACGGATCCAAGAGATCCGCGCGGAGCGCCGAGAAATGTATGTTTATGGCGTTTCTTCTTCGAGGAGCATCAGGAACACGGGTGCCTCCTGGAGATGTGCCAGACCAACCCACCCAGACTCATGATCCCGGATGCGAAGCCAGGGATCTCAGTGAGGCCAAGACTTCATCGCAGTATTGGGGTTTGGGCTTCCTGTGCTCGATGATGTGATGTATCCGCCAGGCCAAACCTTTAATTAGGTCGGGCATGCCCTCCTATAGGCGGATCACGGAAGAAAAAAACAAACAGTCAAAAAAAGACATCCCCTGTAGAAGGACAGGCCCGACTTTACCAGAGCTCTGGGAGGGCTGCCGCACGGCAGACCTCCGAGGGTCAAGTATGCCATCGGGGAAGTGGACATCTGGCCGCCCCCAATTTTTTCGATGCGTGGGGCCCGCATGTCCGGACCACTCAAGGGGCCCAAGGACACGCAAATACCGCCGATCCGGCGTGTGAGTTTAAGAAAGCTACAACCTGAGCTTCAGCTCTGCTGGGGGGGGAGGGGGGGGGTTCATGGGGTCCACCCTTTCTTTCCCCCCTCCCCCCCCGGGAGTCCCAAACCGCCCCAAGACGAGCCAAAACGGGCCCAGGCCACCAAGACGGTCCAGGAGGCGCCCGAAACGGCCCAAGAGCGCTCCTGGACGCCCAAGATTGCCTGCAGACGGCCCAAGAGGCCTCTAAAGACGCCTCAAGGAGATCCCAAGAGGACCCCCAAGAGGGCCCCAAGAGGGTACAATAATGAAATTACTGATCGGTTTTGAAACAATTTAACATGATCGACTTTTCCGTCTTAGAGCGCCGAAGACGGTCCAAGAGGCCCCAAAGATCGCCCCAAGACAGCCCAAGAGGCCCCCAAGACGGTCCAAGACGGTCCAAGACGGTCCAAGAGGGCCGCAATATAGCCCTGGAGGCCCCCCAAGACGACCCCGAGAGGCCGTCAAGATGGCCTCAAGAGGGTGAACCCGAACGGACCCTTGTAGTCCTCCACCCCAAGATGACCCCAAGAGCCCCCAAGATGCCCCCGAGGCGCCCCCAAGGGGCCCCCAGAGGCCCCCAAGAGGTCCCCTAGAGGCCCCCAAGAGGACCCCGAGAGGCCCCCAAGAGGCTCCAAAGGCCCCCCAGAAGCCCCAAGAACCAAGAGGCCCTAAGAGGCGCTCACTCGCGTGCTGCCAGGCCAGAGGTGCACGGCCTGACTTGGTATTGCTCGGAAGCGAGAGCGATGAACAAAGAACCTTCCACCCGTCGCCGTCACCAGTCGTCGGTCGTCGGCCGTCGGCAGCCGTTCGCCGTCAGTCGTCGTCGTCGTCGTCGTCGTCGTCGTCGTCGTCGTCGTCGTCGTCGGTTCGTCGTCATTAACTCATTCGTCGGTCGTCGTCGTAATTATCCCGCTCGTCGACCGTTGGTCGTCCGTTGTCGTCGTCATCGTCCAGTTCAAAAACAATAGCATCAGGAGCGCCCCGGATCGGCGGAAGTGGACGGAGGCCACTACAATACACACAAGTTCCAGAATTCCCGATATTTTTACATTTTTTCTGGACTCTCGTCTTCCCCCCCCAACTCTCAAGGTTTCCCATATTTTCCTGGGAGTCGACGAATACATGTGTCTGTGTGTTTGTCCCCTCCTGACACTTCCCCGGGGCGAGCTTTTTCGTCCTGTGGGTCACTTCTTTAGAGCAGGGACCGACGGTCCCAGCATGTCTATAGGCCTACCACGACATGTTTTTAGAACCGCAAAATGTCGCATGGCAAAAACAAAGTTCTTAGAACATAGACCCGATGCGTTAAAATTACCCTGTGACGTACCCAACCCATTTGTATGAACGGAAACGAGGAGTTGGCCGAAACTTGTATGGATTATCAACTTGATGTGTAAGCTACTTTGGAGGCGTCACTGTGCTGGGTCCCGCAAGCAGGCCTCGAAAGTGGCGACAGTTTCACAGATCGCAGCCCCCCAGGGATGGCGATGTCTAATTTGAATCTGCGTGTGGCGTCACTGTGCTGGGCCCC